TTATTTCTATTGTAATTTCTCTATGGACCTTTGAGTCTAAAATAAAGTATAATAATAATAGTTGTTGTTTCCTGTTCAAACTAGATGCATTGCTTAGTCTCTTCTCTCTTTTTGGTGCAGAGACCAGGTTGTATATTAGTGCTCAACTCAGGACTTGACTTCCCTAGGCTCTCAAGTAAAGTATTCCCACATGCTAATACATAAATGCTTAGTTTTATTGTATATATACAACAGTATATTTTTTTTATACGTTCATTGAAACAACACTGTCTTCAGAAAGTACAGCAGTAAGTAATGTCACTAAAATTAGAAAACTGAAATTACAGAACTAAAGAAAAAAATAATAAACTTATTAAAATTAATGATAAACAAACCACAATATTATTAAAGGCTATACACAAAATTATAAGTAAAAAAATCAAATGGTAATAATAAAATCTCAAATAAGTACATAGCAATTGAAATTAGTACATTGCACAGTGTCAAAAAGAAAAAGAATGAATATTTAATTATTCATGAGGCATTGTGTCTCATTTCAAATGCAGTTTTCAGAAATGTTAAACCTGTATTAGTTTTCACATTGTATTTGATGTTGCTATACATATTTTAATAATTTTATACATGTTACCAGTTATGTTATTTTGTAGATTTAAACATAGACCATTATGCCAAACGCCTTTCTTAAGTCCACGAAGCATGCATATATTTAGTTTTTTTTGATTTGTTGATAAAATGTGATGATCTTCTAGATAAGTAATCAATCTGCTGTTTATAATGATTGTAAACAACAAGAATTTGCAATGCCTCTGTAATTGGATGGGCTTGATTTAGGATTTTTTTTTACTACTTGATTTATCCCTTTTGACGATGTCCTGTGTATCCACTTGTATGGATCCTACAGCTCAACTGTCAGTTTTTGCTCCCATACTTCAATGAAGATTTCTAACGTTGTACTCGGACAGACTCTATTTTTTTACTGCTTGATTTAGGGCCAGATTTGTGTATTGGAACAATTAGACTTGTCTTCCAAGATTCTCAAAGTTTATTTGAGTTGAAAACAATGTTGAATAATTTGTGCAAAGCATTTGTGAGATAATAGTTACCAACTTTAAATATTCCATTTTTTTTTATGTTTTCAAGTTTACTAAATGCTTTTTTAATTTCACTTTATATAATTTACCCATTAAGTAATTCCTTATAATCATTTTTACTATTACTGCTTCATATTATGTGTGTTATAACTTGTAGAAGTTTAATTTAATGGCCAATATTAAAGTGGCGTAGGCACTCTTTATTTTAACTAGAGAATACCCATGATGCTCTGCTTCATTTTCTATTTTGCTATTTTTCCTATCATAAACTATTTTTTAATGTCTAATATCTGTGAACATATTCTCCAACCAATGTATGTGTACAGAACAGTGTTTGTTGCTTTAGTATGCAGGATTAGGGGTTATGGTTAGCATGGAGCTCCATGTGTGTAGCTAGCTAGCTGACTTGACAGTAAATGACTTTCACTTAGCCATGGTTCTTCAGTTCTATAATGATCTATTTGGTAAGTGTACACATCTACAGTTTACTCTCCAGAATGTTTGAAATTCATCTATAGAGCAGGTAATAATAGTTTAATAATTGTAGTAATTTTTATTTCAGCTATGGATGATATCCCCGATTTTATTTTTAATTTGGTGACAAGAGGAAAGACTAACAATATGATTCTTGAATATCTAAAGAAAGAACGACAAATTGCTTGGAGGTATGCATATAAGGGCCATTCCAATTTTAGGAATATAAATTACAAAGCCCCCTCACCCACAACATTTTATTGTATACTAGTATGCTTCTATTCAGGACAAATGTATTTTATTTAAAGGGGCATATACAATAACCTTGGGGTGGAGTGTTAGGATTCTGGTTAAAGAATATTTTCCCTTTTCTTTTTGATAAAGAAAATAATGAATAGCTTGTAACGATAATTGTATAATTACTAATTTATTTTTCCTCAAAGTGACAGACATGTATAGTATGTTCCCAGATACTCTTTCACAATATACCTGTGTATTTTAGACATTGATTTTAACAGATTTTTGTATGTTTATACATCTCCATTTAGTTTGTCTACGTTAAAAAGGCGAATGCTTTCTTGGGGAATAACAAGATATGAAAATATTTCACCCGATGAAGTACTTGCAGCAATAAAGGTACAGTTGTCTGAATTTAAAATTTATGTGTAAACAAATGAAATATTTGGTCATTATTGTTCTTTTTTTCTTTAACTTAAATGGGATTTGTATTCAAACAACACAAGGCAATAAAATTAATATAACTGTTAAAAGAAATGATAAAATGTTTGATGAATGTGGGATGTATTGTTAATATTGGGTCTTGTACTATTTTATTAGGAAGAAATGAAAGGTCCAGGAAAGCTTGTTGGAATTAAAGCCATGCACAGGCGACTTAGACAGAAATATAAAATTCTTGCAACAAGGTACATTTTTTATTTCATATTTGAGTGCTCGTGTTGGGCTATATGTTAAGCATTAATGAGGTCCGCTGAAACAAAATAATGTGAACTTGAATATTACGCTTGACATTGTGTTTGCTAGTGTTGACAGTTAGTTTGTCTATTTATGTAAACATTAATGACTTGTTTGGGTTGAAAATCTATTAAGATCTCTGAAATATTTATTTCCAATTAAATTTAATAATACATGTACTACAAATGTTGTGCTACTGTTTTTCTTTATTTCTATGTTTTTTTAATTAATATTTGGATAATTAAATGTTTCATCAACATTTGATGAAGATATGCATATTCATAAATATCATTCATGTATCTGCATTACATACAAATCATTCAATATGAAAAATCTTAAATAAAAATCAATTGCTTTACTATGACAGAGACCAAGTAGAAGCAGTAATGGTTGTTAATTTTTATGAGCAAATGCAAATAAGACGGAGAGGAAGATTAGGGAGAAGTATTGGACACAGAAGAAAATACTATTCAATGGTATTGAGTGAAAGAATTGCTACATAATTGTATTGTTTTAATATATACAGAGAAAATTTTTACAAAAAAAAAATACCAGTAATTTTTATTAAAAAAAAAAAAACCACACACAATTGATAAAAGTAAATAAATATTTGTGTCCTGTTTTATTTTGTTATTCTGACAAAAATATTGAGACCAGCTCAGTACAGAACATTAGTCGCATGAATATGCATTGTGGTGTAATATACACATACAACTGATGTGATTGTCTGGGAAATGTTGATGTTCTGCTTTCAGATTATAATTCAATATGATTTCATTTTTAGGGACCTAATTGGTTTTGGCACCTTGACGGATATGATAAGTTGATGGGGTATAGAAAAAAGGAATATCCATTTTCTATTCATGGGTGCATAGATGGGTTTTCTCGCAAGATCCTATGGTTGAGAGTGTATATCACAAATAATAACCCAAAAGTAATATGCAAATACTTCTATGACACAGTTTTGCAAAACAAAGGTACAAAGATCATTATATTGTATATACTGTAATCCACATTTATTTTGTGATTTGATTCAATGTGGCCAATTTCACCCAAAAAATATTCCAATTTGTTTCAGTATGTCCAAGCCGAACAAGGTCTGATTATGGAACTGAGGTGACTGACTTAGTGCAAGCACAAATGTTTTTAAGAAGAAATCACACTGATCCATACTGTTTTGATGGGTCTCATAAATATGGAACCTCCATGTCTAATCAAGTAAGTATAATTGTTGATCATGTGTGAATTGCTATACATTTTCTATTCACATTTTTCTATGCATCTAATTTTTTCCAAGCTAATACATGGGTAGCAAACCTATTCAGATAACTGGTTGTTTGGAAGGCTAGTAATTGAACAGTTGGAATTGGACATAACTGAAATTCATTTTAAAATTACCTCAGGTGCATGTCCTGGGGTATGTTGATATAAAGTTAGGTGCCAATTGTTATATTGTTTTTGTCATATTGACTGTTATCATTCCTATATTTGTAGTGCATTGAAAGTTGGTGGACACAACTGAGGAAGTACAGTGCAGAGTATTGGAGAGATCAGTTCAAGGTGCTGTATATATAATGTATAATGCTATACTTCATCACTTAATGATACTACTTAACGATATATATTTGTGTTTGTCGCTTTTTTTGAAACGTTTTATTTTTGGCGGACCCAGCAATGTGTAGTATGTAGTGTGTGCTTCCCAATGATCCGATGGTGTGACATCATGGAATGGACATTAATTTGTTTAAACAATTGCAAAGACTGCATAGTTCACGTTAATTTTTGGTCAATTTGACCAGAATTTTACCTAGTATTTTCTATGCACAATTGTTTTAAATAATTTGTTAAATTGTTTCAGGACTTTTATTCTCATACTTGCAAACAAGTATTGTAGGTAAATGCATCAGTTTTAGTAAATAGACAAGGTTGTAATGGTTTTGCTATGTTAATTTGTATGTGTATTTTATCACATCACAGGTTTTCAGCAAACTCTGTTCATGCCTGCATTACCAGTCATATTAATGTAGTGTTATTGATGCAGAATTTACTGTTTTGTATTTGCAAAAAAGCTTCATGCTGATGGTTAATTCAAACTTTGCATAAAATGCAGCTGACATTACAAATTTAATGGACAGAATTTGTTTTATTTTAGACATTGAAGAATGAAGGACTGTATGATCCTGATTGTGAATTGGATAGGTAACTATTATAATTTTACTTTTTAAATTACTGATAATAAATAATTCAATTCGGAGGAAGTCTGAAAGCAGGGACTTTTAATTTGTACTTCCATTCTAGTACATAATACATACCTATACCGATCACATTCTTATAATACATACGCCGATTCATGACCTAATTCAAGAGGTAGTCATTTTAAAGTAGAAAATTAATAAAAACTGTTGTGTATAGATTGATTCAGTGCAAAAATATCATTTCAATCTTTATAATTCAGAAGCTGCTTGTTGTATGTATATATGCCGTTACTGGAAGATGAATTGAATTGCTTTGCTGATGAGTGGAATTCTCATAGGATTCGAAAACAAAAGGAACAGTTAAGACCAAATGGTGTCCCAGAAGACTTGTATCAGTTCCCTGAATTAAGTGGTATGTGAATTTGGAGGAACTTTGAACTGCATTCATGAAAGTGGGGAGGGTGTTTATATTTTAAGTGACTTCTTCACAATAAGGTTTCACAATTTCAAATTAATAAACTGAAAATTTGTATGTCATACATGATGTACACAAGTTTGAACTTCCAGTGGGACGTGATACTCCTGCTCTCATTTACACACCATATTCATTTTTTGTATCAATAGACATAATCTGACACTTTTTTTCAGGTGCAAGAGAAATGGGCTGGCAGGTTTCCACAGAAGACTTAGAATCCTTTGCTAAAGAAAAGAATGTTGCTGCTCCACTACCAGATTACATTTCCCCAGCTTTTAGGAAAGCAGCTGATGATGAATTAATTGATGATATTAACATTAATAATGCAAGACAAACATATATTTATTTTAGACACATTTTTACCTAGCCTGATTAATAGACCAGCATTGTTTTCAGCTAAAACATAGCTATTTAGAAAAGTAAAATTCTGTCAAGTATTATACCCAAGTATTATGGTGAAATTTCATAATAAAATATCCCCCAAGTTTATTTTTTGTGAAATTAGCATGTTTTCAAGATATGGTTAAAATAAGTGCATATGCTCTCCAAGATGGGCATACACTTTTTAACACTGGATATACTAGTGCAGCAATTATTTTGTGCACATACAAACTGTCAAACTTGTTGGCTCATCAGTGTTCCAAGTGTGCTGACCTTTATTCAACAGTGTACATAATTTGTCAGCTTAATCACAAGATTGGAGAACGGCCATTTATAAATTGTCATTTTTGGTGGGAGGGGGTCAAACTGCCAATTTTATACAGAAAGGTGTGATGTTTGCATGAGGAGTGTCTTTTTGCTCAGATCATTAGTCCTACAATTAAATAATACCGGTAGATGTTACTGAACTCCCTTTTTATAACAAGTATTCTGATACACACAAAAGCATCACCCAAAGTTGGCTGTTAATATTTGTACACATAACAATTAAAAACTTTTTCAAAGAATTTATTTGGGTACTGTAAATACAAGTTCCATAAAAATACAAAATAGCTCAAAAACTCAGTGAACAATACAATACTAGTGAGGGAATACTCACTGACTATACTGTTTTACTGATAACCAGAAACTGCAGACATCTTCATATGCTAAGACAAATGCAAGAACTGAACTTTATAGAAGAACTTCGCCACTAATTAAAAAAAAAGTCAGTGCAAAGGAAAATAACAAAACCAACATGCAAAATCATCATTCAGATGTGAAAAAACTCTGCTATTGAGGTGTCATAAAATGTCTGTGAAATGCCTGCCCACACATCGTCTATTTTGAATTTGTTATGTCATAATTATCCAATCAAACGCCACCATTCACACACTTTTCCTAACTGTGACGCAAAGGGTTCACCCATTTCAACAGGATGTTAATGGACTTGCTATCATTTAATAACTATGATTTACTTGAAAAAAATTGAAATGGAGAGTTCTGTGACAATAGATTTCAACTGACTTTATCGACCACAACACAAGTGACTCTGATTGTGCAGCTAAGCCAGAAATGTACAAATGTATATTTCAAATCTAACTCAAACCTAAACTTGATAATATGTTTTCTTTATGATCAACTCTTCCTCTTTAATAGTACTCTGAAAATAAATATAGAAGAATATTCTGAAGTTTTGACCATTTATCATTTCATTCACTCATTACAATATTATGAAAACATTGTCAAGTCAGAATTACAATAAAATCCTATTTCTTAACTGTATATTGCATAAATGCTGTCAGAACAAATGCTAATAATGTTTTAATTTTAAACCACAAGAATAAAAAAGGGACAAAAACTGCTTTAATGAGAGCACTAATAAGGATTGTTATCACCTCAATAAACACTGAAGAGCACAGAATTTCTTCACTACAATGCCTAAATGCCAAAAAATAGTGCAAAGCGTCAGTTTGTGTTCAGTTACATGTTCTATTTCCAGTATGTGCTCTAGTGATTCTGTGTTTGATGATACAGATGGGAAGTGTATGATGCTATCTATAACTACAACAAACTTTGGTTTCCTTTTTCAAAAAGAGGGAGCAATCTGATTGGTCAGTTATTGCCATTCAAGTGCATGGTACATGATCAGTCAGTCATCTCAAGTGTCTAACTTACCTGTCAATTAAATTGTACCTAAAAAATAAATAGAACATTTTTATGAAACAATTAAATTTTAAAACAAGCAGCATGTCGGCTGAGATAGCTCCGCTGTTAGTAATGCACATTTCAATTAAAGAACAGAAGATATAATTAGAAAATGAACAATATGTATAGTATCAAGCAATAAAACTTGCGGTTTTCAACAAGAAGTCGAAAATATCACTTTTTACCAAAAGTGACAAAAATATTCACCAAAGTTAGAGAATTAAAGATATCATTACAAAATGAACAAATCTGAGAGAGGTCCACATGTAGTACCTATATATGTAATATCAAAGCAATTGAACTTGCGGTTTTTAACAAGAACTCGAAAATATCACTTTTTACCAAAAATGACAAAAATATTGACCAAAATTAGAGAATTGAAGATATCAACATGAAATGAACAAACCTAAGAGAGATCGAAAAAGAAAAACATTGACATGCACAACGTCGGACAATTACTCATATGATTAGTCGACAGCGGAGCTAATGAAAGGACTATTTAGATATTGTTGATAAGATCACATTTGTTTTAAACAAACACATTTGATTTGATTACATTGATTACCTCTGATCCATGGTCTTCTACCATACTTTCATTTAATTCTTCCATCCCTTGTAAAAATATTTGAAAAAACAATAAAAATAATGCTCTGTGAAATTTTTCACAGCAATATATCAGTATCAATATCAAAGTGTACTTACGAAATGAAATAAAGTGATCTTGTGCAAGATATATGGGTCTGATGACACCAGTATAACATGTTAAATTGCCACAGTATTATGATAGGAAAATGTAGATCTAAACATAGGATATGGTTTCTGTGGTGAAATGCACTACCATACCATAATTACTTACATTTTCAAGGATTTTTAGCATACAATATATAGTTTTTGGTGAATTGCATGACATGATAGAGCCCCTTTTAGTTCAATAGTAAACAAAACTGAAATGAGTCGGCCATAATGGTAACGACATGGCTCCAGAACAGCATTTGCGTTTGACCATTTTGAAACTGATATGAACAAATATTATGGTCCTGTTATTTGTATATATATATTATTATGTTCATTGTATGTACCAATATGGACAATAGCTGTCCATGTATAGCAAAAAGATCTGAATCCAAAATGACAGAAATGCTTGATTTTCATGAATTTTACCACAAAAATGCCACAAGTCACCCTTAGTAAATCTGATATGAAAAACAAATCATGCATCGAGCTCCCATAATGTACAATGTATTAAAGTACCAAGTTTGAGGAATTCCAGAATTGCAGAAATGCTTGAATTTCAAGCAAAAAAATCGCTGATTAGTCCATGTCTCAAATACAGGTGCAGGTTCATGTGCATAGAGGTCAACCTCCTTTTTGGGACTAATAAATTGGTATAACCTGGGAATCCCTATTTAAGCTGTTTCAGTATTTGCCAAATGTTAAACCAACAATGATAAACATGCCAAAATAATAACATGCCAAAATCAAGCTAAAGCACAATTTTTTGATTTGAAATTTCAAAAACATGACTATGCATTTTTAAATTATTCACTTACCAGGTAGGTTTAAAAATGCGCAATATTCAGAACAGGAATGATCTTTCGAAAATGTTACGATCGCCTGCCGTGAGATATTGTCCATGCCAAACAGACTATCAAAAAAACAAATGAGATTTAAGGTCAGACAAAGGAAAAGTTGCAAGCATTATCATAATTCCATCTATTAAACCTTATTTTAACAGGCATCATGCACTTGCTTCTAATTATGAGCAATATTCTTTCAAACATTTTCTATATAACATAATGTATTTTTGTTATAAAGTTTGTAACAGAACCAGTTTTTCTTTCTTTGTGGTTATTAGTCCCAGTTTCAGGTGCAGCCTTAAAAGGGGAATATAGTTTCTTATTTCCGGTTTCCGTCGTTTCCGTCTGTGAACAAGTCACTGTTGAATATGCACATAATTTTTGTCTTCCAGATCTGAAAAGTGAGTCTTTTTCATGATTTTCATCCAAAATTACCTCTCCCACCAACACTGAGAGAACAATTGTGCATGCTCAGAATAAATTAATGAGTTAGAGTAATGCTAGGGTGATCAGTGACGTCATAGAAATGGACCACATTCTGGTTTTTGTTGAAAAAAGTGGTCAGAAATGTTGTTTATTATATCTTTAAACTATAAAAATTGCATTCCATTATAAAGAGTCATCACTGAAATACAGGGTCACAAAGTTGAAGATCAGTGAAAACACTATGCAGTTATTGTTTATAAATCCTGACCAGGCACATTGAAACATCAGGGCTACATTTTGATGGGAATTATATTGGTGATACTGAAACAAACCCAGGTTCTGGTAATATACAAAGACCTGAATTACCGGTAATAAACAAAGAAGTCAAGTTGTTATTAAAGGTACATCCAGGTTTACTCAGATTTATGAATGCAGTTTCTTCAGCATGTATACATGTATGAGACATAGTTTGGTTGCACTTGTACACTCTGAGATTTGGAACATCAGTCATCAGAACAATACTAGATTTAAGGGAAATCACTTTATGATGAGTTGTACCCACATAGAGTACCATACATGTATTAATTCTCCTGTTAGCAGATGTTCTATGTATTATTTTAACAAGAGTATTTTATAATTAAATGATGAGGACTGTTACATTTATGTCTTGTTTATACAATATCTAAAACTAAAACAAACACAAAGTACAAACAACATGACACTTGAAAAGCTACGTTTGCTAGTAAAAAGCATACCGGTAAATATATCAGTAACAGAAAGTTGGAAGCCAGGAGATACAAACGCAGATCAGTGTTACACCATACCCTTTCCATCTAATAGCAAATCAACAAAGCAAAAATTGGCTTCACTGAAAATAGCGATGTTCTATCATGAGAATCAAATTCTATAACCAAATTATGTCGAAAAGAGGGGTTTGTTAAACTAGTTATTCTGAGACTAATTTGGTCGTCTTTCTAGTCACCTTATTTGTTGTATTTCTGTATATAAATTTGTGGGGGACGATACGTTGTGGTTATGGAAATGTAACGAAATATAGTATGCAAAATTATCTGCTACACAATCAGCACCAATCACCACAGAAGAACAACTTAATGAAACCTCAGAATTTATTCACTAACGGAAAACCCGCTGGCAATCCGGAGACTTGCAACCTCATATCAACGATATAACACAAATTGTAAGAATGATACAGAATTGGCAGTATGCCTTTGATATACATCGATAAACTCTTGACCGTGTAAGAAAATTAGTGGGAAAACTTCTAATTGGATGAATATAAAAATTGAAACAAAAGAACACACTGCGGTGGTTTCTACCACGTTCGCATTCAT